ACGGCAGCAGGCTGGCCCTCATAGCAGCAGCAGCAGCAGCAGCACGAGGAGGAGGAGGAGGAGGAGGAGCAGGAGCAGCGGCAGGAGCAGGAGCAGGAGCAGGAGCAGGAGCAGGAGCAGGAGCAGTAGCAGCAGCAGCAGCAGTAGCCGTAGTAGTAGTAGTAGTAGTAGTAGTAGTAGTATAAAGTAGTACAGTAGTAAAGTAGTAAAGTAGAAAAACTGAGGTAGTAAAGTAGTAAGTAGAAGTAAGTAGAAGTAGTCGTCGTCGTCGTAGTGCAACAATAACGACAACAACGACGACAGCAACAAGAACAGCCGCAACAGCCAGCAACAATAGCACGAACTGGAAAAAACAGCAGGCAGGGACGACATGGGCAACAGCAGCTCAAAAGCCGCAGGTTGCAGGAGAATGAGCACAAAACGGCAACAATGAACAATGACGAAGCAAGAAGCCACCTCACGTTTTGAGCAGCATGACCATCACGGAGTACGTCATCAATGCCATCACCACCACGAAACCGGCAACATGTGGCCCTGCCGGGTAACCGGCGAGGTTCTTCTCGGCATGTTCGGCGCGGTCCTTCATGGACTGGACCTCAGGAGCACAGGTCACCTCGTTGCAGGATATCATATGCTGAAGCCGCATGGCAAGAGTGACTATGACGAAACGTACTGCTACATGTAGCATGAAGATCGGCAGAGCAAGAGGTCGCAGAAGCGTGGTAGAGAATCCCCATGAGCTGCGGTTTTGGCAGCACAGTCAGTCTGAGCCATGGTTTGCAGTGTGGGTTCCGGCCCTGTGGACCCAAACATGAGTTGTTCTGCCCGCACATTGGGCACACGACCTTCGCATCCGCAGCATCCTGCGGGAAGGTGTGAAACCCTGGGTTTTCGATCCTCGGGCTCAGATTGTAGTTAGGGATTCGGGTGGGGCTCCTCATCAACCAGAGGCGAAACTGCTGCACTTTGACGCATCTTTCATTGCCAGCAGAATCCCTTTGAGGGGGCTGCCATGCCCTTTGGCAGAAACCCGGTTGAGGAGATCCGCTTACGACAAGAATCACACGGAATCTGCCCTCCGTTAGTAGTTGTGGCCCACATTCTTCTAAAAGCTGCGCGTTTAATTTATTGAAGGGAAGAGCGTCTTGATTCACTCACCCGTCTGCCTTCTCTTTTTGTCTGGCTCCTTCCAACCTGAGCACTGCTATCGTTCTGTAGCACACGTGCCGTGAATCCATCCAGACCAGTGATACTGACATTGACCATCCCGCTGGTGCTGTGCACATGCACTGGACTTTTGCGCTTGGCAGCAAGCAGCTAGCAGCAATCCCCAAGCTCCCCAACCGAAAAGCGCGATACTGAAAACTCAAAACCTTGCGCGGGCCCCTAAAGCAAAAGACTTAGCCCCGCGCCAACAGAATGAACAATCAGAGCCAAAAGTTTATAACAGTGAATAGTAATTGCAAGTAATGCTCCTCGTCGGCAATATCATCCCAACAGCACTGAATGGTGTTAACAAAGCCCGCGTCCTAGCAAGAAAGGACCCTGGACACCAATAGCCGCCGGTCCTTCCTAACCCCATCGCCACCAAGGCCCAAAACCCTACTGCTCTCTGAAACGAGGCCCCTTCAACTATACAGACAATATACATCGGCTGTAATATGTATGTATAGCCTATATCTATCTGTCTATATATATATACATACATATTATAGTAATATATAACTGTATGTTTATCTAGTTATTTACTTATCTATTGATTTATTTATCTATCTATCTATTTGCATATATTATGTGTATATATATATATATCTTCATTTGTTTACACACACACTATGTGCGCATGTACATGTTTACGTGTATGTTTTTTGTATACTCTTAGGACGCTGGCTCTTCCAATTTCTTGGAACTTTCGGCCGCTTCCCGCTCGGCATCCTCCAGTGCTGCTGCCTGAAGGTCGCCCGAGGGTGATAAACACATACTTAGCATGACATATCATGTAGCGCAATCATAAGCCCGTGAAGTTTAACAAAACTTGACAACACACACAATACCAACAACAACTGCAGTGAAAGTGATGGCGCACTTTGACCAGTTTGTGACTCTCACACTCGGCACCACCAGTAGGACTTCGCAAAGAGTTCGTCCATCAGCAACGAGCCTGCAACGTTAAAGGTGTGAAACGGAAGTAGTAAGTAGTATCTAAGTAGTACTTCCGTACTTCCCACAGACTCGACGATTCCACACACTGGGCCATTCGTGGTAGAATGTCCAATGCAAGTCGAGTCCAAGGCCGTCTTCTGGCTCTTCGCACGAGACGACTTCCAGATCCTGGGAATCGTCATTCATGAGGGGCAGCGGAAATGCACACACGGCCGCTGCATGTATAGGGGGTCGGGCATGATATGATATGACTCAGCCAGGGAAGTGCACCACCAACATCACTATGCCGAACCCCGGCTGCGGGTGTTGCATACAAATTGGCACCAGATGCCTTCTACATCGCTACGACAACAAGGACGCCATCTTCACCGTTGCTGTCATATCGCCATATGACCAACGCATCGCCAAACAGGTATTCTGGTAATCTGCACGATCCTCGCGGCTGTCGCCACGGCAAGGCTATCAGCATCGTCTCCATTATCACCGCCATGGCAAGATACCACGCTGCTTCTACTGTTTCTTGTGCAAGATCATACCAACAGCATGGCCATGATGATGATTATCATGAACACAGTCACGAACTCACTGCCGCGCAAACAGAGGCACTCGAGACAGCTGCCCGAGGGCGGCGCTGGTGAAGCGACTTGACAATTGGCGTGAACTGGTTCTTCAGGGACTGATCTTTCATCTCCTTTCTGTGCATTCCAGGAATGCTGACCGACTAGTTCATTTTTGAAAAACTGATAAGTAAGGAAGCGAGGAAAACCTCCCACATTACCGCAAAGCTCTAGGGCGGAGGAGCCAACTAACTTCACGATCTCTCGTACACTGGAGAAACATCATAACAATAACAAGTAAACATATTATAAACAGTTAAGCAAAACAACACTGCCTTCAATAGTGGTAACAATGAGAGTCTCAATGACAACAAGCACAATGATAAAAAAAAAAAGCAACCAGAAACAAGCAATCAAAAATACACTTGTGCATGGTTTTCGGGACTCTCATAACTTCAACTCCACCCATTCGGGGCCGACAGCCCCGAATGTCAATCCTATCTCGACTCCCACTCCTTGGTCAAGTGCTGCACCAGGTCTGGAAGCATCCGGGCAAAGAAGTCCTTCCAAGTCCGTGATACACTGAAGGTTACGAAGTGCACATGAAGCTTCGGAGTCATGCTGCGGGATGTGCACCTTCAACGTCTGAACTGTGCCGTAAAGCTACAGCAGCCATTTCTGGTGAAACTGGCGACAGCGCATTGCTGCAGATCATGATGGCGATGGTATTGGCGAAATAACGAAGTGACCATGAAGAACAACATGTGCCGAAAACGGGGCACGAACTGCAATGGGAGCAACACTCAATAATGCTACACAATCTCTGGGATGCCATGTAAGAACAGCGTTTCTTCAGGGGTGCACTCCTCCAGGGAGCTTTCACTGCCATCCTCCGAGCTCTTCTGCACGTTCAAGATGCGACCCCTGTGGCTTGGGGTCTAAAAAGCTGCGGATAGCCGGTAATCTTGGAGAATCTGGGCGCAGGCGCAGGTGCTACTCCTACACATCCGATGCTGCACCCTTTCGAAGGTCCAACCATTCATGCATTCGGCGTTTACGTGCTGTGGATTTTAGGGGCATAGGACTGCAGCGTTTACGATCGGCACTGGGTACTGTGCTCGTGTTAGGGCCACACATAACCCAGTCCGATTGTGACTGGCCGAATCTGTCTTCTATCACTCTTCTATCTCTGTCACTCTCTTCAGCCTGGAGCAAGTGTGGCCCCAGAACAAGGCAACGAAAGCAGAGCCCAGTCGGATGCCTCGACTTGGCGAAAGCGGCGCTCTGCTTCTTCATCGAGGCCTCTGCATCCTCGCAATTATGCACTAACGGCTGGTATTTTTTCCACCCCCCTAGCTGACAAAAAGGGCCGGCATGAGGGTTTGGGGTTTCACATCTTCTCAATATTGGAAACACGGAACACACAGATCGAGCTTCCGCAATCAAGTCTTGGCACAGACAACAGGCACAGGGCCAGCTTTGCATGCCAGCACAAATCAGTGTTTGTGCAGCACGTTGCCAGGCTGCCTCACGAGGACACGGTGTACTATATTCGTGCGGGCTGCCTTGTAGACGGTCAGCTCATTTGCTAGCTCCTGCGGCTTTCAAGCATCCACGTGCGAGTGCACGGCGGAAAGAAGTGCAACTCGCATCTCTGTCCATCCATGGTCGGGTGCATGTCTCCCAAAAACAACTTCCCGAGAACCAACCTGGCTCTTTGCGGTCATCGCAGCCAGCTGGGCCTCGTGGAGTGAGGTACGACCGGCACGGCGCTGAGAATATGTTGGAGAGCTCTCGATGGGTCTCTCAACGTCTGTGATAGCACCAAATCTGACAAAATGACTTTTAGTACGGCGTCTCGGCACTGTATCGACTGCCGAAGTTCTCACATGAGCAGGACACCATGAGACGTAGCCAAGGCATGCCAAGGCCTAGGGCCTAGGGCAGTGGTAGCACAGCCGAGTCTCTCGTGCCCAGAAGCAAACTCCGATTTCAAGGAGCCTGCGTGTCAACGAGCTCTCGCTGAAGGCTGTCTCGCAGCCGTTCCTGGCGAGGTCGATGCAGCACCAAATCCCCCAAGGCGGCAAATATTGTCAGCATGAGCCCACCTTTGTAAATGGCTCCCCGCGTGCTTCTGCTGATAAATGCTGCGAACTGGCTGCAAATCTGGATCCTGAGTCCTATCAACTATCCTCCTAACGGAACGATTATTTACACAGGACGGTCGCGGCACGCGTCTTGACGCTGTGGTGCGGTGTATACTTTCGGAAGACCACCCAAGAAACGCCAGAGGATGATTGGAAGACCACCCACGACGAGCACTGCGGCCAGGACCACAACCCGCCGGGAGACTCCAGGAGACCAGCAGGACCAAACCCGGAATGGGTTCCCCAAGTACTGCGGGATTCAAGAGATTCCCAGGACCAGCTCGAAACTGCTTGCCCTCAAGCGCTGGCGCATTTCGGGAACACGAGACTATGCTTCCGAGTAGCCTGCGGGATCTAGAGGAACACCCGAAATCCATCCCCGCAAGTACGGATGCGTGTCATTTTTTTCCTGGTGGTCTCTTTGTGTGGTTGTCTCTTGGTGGTCTTGTGGTGGTGTTCTGGTCGTTGCCGTCTTTGCGGTCCCCGGGTGGTCTCTATATAAAGGTAACATTCGTGTGGTCTACTGGTGGGGTCCTGCTATCTCTTGGTGGTGTCCCGGTCGTAGTAGTAGCGGTGACTTCGTGGTCTCCTCGCGATCTCCTCGTGGTCTCCCGGTGGTCTCGTAGCGGTCTCTTGGTGATCTCTTATGTGGTTCTTGGTGGTCCATTGATGGTCTCATGGTGTCGTAGTGGTCTCTGGGTGGTCTCCTGCTGTCGTGATGGCTCTGAGTGGTCTCCTGGTGGACCCCGAAAACAAACCTCCACGTAAGGCCAACCTCAGCACAGTTCCGAGAACTGCGCTGACCGTTTAACTTTATTCTTTCTACACCTGCGGAAGCAAAATCCGACTGGTGGGTCACAGACACGACATTTTGCAAGGGCCAGAATGAATCGAGCCCAGTCCCAACCAAACACTGCGCCTTTTTTCCCGACATCATGCCACCCGGACAGCAACATGACCACTGCAGGCGCACTGGCAGGGAAAGCTTAGCTGCGGCGATTGTATAAGTATATTCTGCTACCCTCTATACATAATGATGTATACATATACTGTATATATATACACACATACATACATACATACATACATACATACATACATACATATACACGCATACACACGTACAAACACGCACATACGCACACATGTAAATGCAAATGCATATACATATACACAAAGTACATATACATATCCATGCATATAACCTTGTATACATATAAATATACATATACATATACATATACATACATACATACCTACGTACATATGAGCTCATGTGCGTGTGTGTGTGTGTGTGGGATTGTGTTCGGCCTATCCCATGAATGCATCTATCTATCTATCTATCTATCTATCTATCTATCTACCTCTGTGTGTGTGTGCATGCACTCGCGCACATGTACTTGTGCATATACATACATACATACATACATACATACAGACATACATACGTGCGTATGCGTATGTACATACGTACATACATGCATACATACCACTACATGCACGTGCGTGTGTGTGTGTGTATGTGTGTATGTGTGCAGATACATGTAATAAGACTTTCATGAAAACTGTATGAGTACGACATGATATAGGACACGAAACCTATATCTCTACACAATTGTATATATATATATATGTGTGTGTGTATACACATACATTTTACATACACCAGAACGATGCGTGCATATATACGGACATATGTATATACAGGGAGGGAGAGGAAGACAGAGGCAGACAAACACCCGAACACGTACGCTCTCTGTTATGTGTGTATGTATATGTGTATATATATATATATGTATATATATATATGTATATATATATATGTGTGTATATATATATATACCTGCCTACATACATACATACATAC